TGTGAGTCAAGGAGGATGGTATCTTTTCTAGATTGAGAAAATCAAATATAGGCTGCAATTTTGGATTAGCGCGCTGTTCTTTGACTGAATCTACTATATGATTTTGGTAGGAGATCTTTCGCATACTTAAATTCAAAGCCGGGCAAGTTGGAGGGTTAGGCATTTTCCAATACACATGCGATTGCGTCACGTGGCATATCGGGGGTTGATTTGGTGCGTTAAACGCAAAATCATTCACCAAAAGCGCGCTTATAATAGCAATTTTTGATAGTGCTGAGAAATAACTCCATATTTTAGGAAATCTGAAACTGAGTCGCCTGTTTCACATCAAGCGCCATGCAGTAAAATTCATCAGCTCCGTCACATGCGGCCATACTACCTTGAAGCAAGCACTGCGTGTTATTTTGGTCTAACACCCCTGCCTCTGGGGCCCACAAATCTTCCTGGCAATTACATTGTATCGCCCTGTCAATATGCCTTCGCGCAGATGGTATTTTCGGCTCATCGGCTCTATCTCTAATAACTGAATTGATAATTGATCTAGTCTCTCTGTCACCTCGGTTGCGCAAAATTAATCGTCGACGATTCTCATTGAATGGCCTCACATCCAGGTTGCGCCTCGCTTGAGTGTCGCTACGATTGGCTCTGCTCTGCATTGATGGTAAAGGGGCACGACTCTGAGTCCTCGGCCGCGGAGGACTTATATTGTGTGGCGACTGTTGGCCCTCATTAGGAGGTTGACGGTATGTCAGATTAGGTGGCTGACGAAGATAGCAATCATAGGCTAGATGTCCAACCTTGCTATAGTGTGTACAGTAAGGACGCTGATCATAATTTCTCTCAAACCGATGTCCCTCTCGTACAATGCCTCGATCGTAATAGTCATTTCGCGGACGCCGCGCACCTTGTCGAGAAGGTTTATACCTAAGTGAGCTGTTTTGATTAGCGGGCTGTTGGACTGCAATCCTTCTGAGTTCTTTCTTAATTTCGGCAAGGTCATTTTTCAACGCATTCCCTAGCCCTGATACATTAACACCAATTTGATCTCTCGCACATCGCGATTTGTCAGGGGCAGCCATGGCATTGATCAGTGCACTGATGGAGTCAATATCTGTATTTAAGACTAAACTTTCCACATGTTGGGCTTTCAAAAAGGCTTGTTCGAAAGTGCTTGGCTCGGAATTTTGGACAAAGAATTTTATTTTCGATTTAGGTCAACAATAAAATGATCCACGAGCAAATCCTTAAACGTCTGTTCACTTAGGCCCACAGTTGCAGCTTCCACTGCTCGCCTGAGGCGTTCAGCATAAGTGGTGACAGGTTCACTTTCTTTCTGCTCGCAGTTCATTGGTTTTTGTCTCTCCATGTTGCGCATTTTTGGGGACTCGAACATTTCCTTCAGCCTAGCTACTGCTTTATTAAAATCTTTCTCTTCCTCAGTTAACTCCTCGTATTCCTCTCTTGGCAGCCCATCTAAGAAGAATATGTGCTTCTTTGCCTTTTGTCTGTTGGATCACGGTCTTGGCTGGACCTCAGCATAATCTTCATACTTTCTCAACCATGAAGAAAAGGTAACACCTTCTTCCCCGGTATGTGGTGTCAAACGAATACCACAACTTGCTAATTCTGAGCCTGGTACGTTAATACCTGTCTCATGCTCATCTGGCCTTTCGTTCTCACCAGAATCTATGCTCACACTATTAACTTTATTTCGCACTCGCAGTAGGTCTGCATTTATTTGGTCAATTTTGCCAGCGATTACACAAAAGCCTTGATCTACATCTTGCTTCAGTTCCTCATGAGCATCACCTAACTTTTCATTATTTATCTGGGCCATTCTGATGTCTTTTTCCATGCTCTGGTCAAAACTAATTATATCTTCAGTTACTGGGACTATTTGGCCCAGTGTAACCGTTGCATGTGGGCTCACCGTTTTCAGCGTCTTCAAATCTAATTTCTTAGTAGCCATTGCTCCAGCCTAATTTTGAGCTGCGAGACGAGCAATGAGTAAGAACAACCACAATCCACGAGCGGATAGACCACACTAGTTTAACCACTCGCTGCTACCAGTAAAAATTTTTATGAGATGAGTGTTTACGTGTGTGGATCGCTGTGTGGCGTGGTGCTCTGAGC